AAATTAGCATAATAATATGTATAAACATTTTAAAAGACAGTTTAAAATAAGTATGCTTACAATGCTTAAGTAATAAAAACACATTTATAAAAATAATGCCAGATCACACAGTATGAAACAGAAAGAAAAGGCAGATTAGAAATAACCCAATTATAGCTTCTGGAAATTATAGATGTACCAGACACATGCTTATTGTCATTAAAATTTTGAAGAAAAATGCATGATAGGTTGTAAAATAGATTAGATAAGCAAAAAGAGAATTACTGAATTATTTTCTCTAGCATCTGTTAGGATAATAAAATTTTATAGGATCTTTTGTCTCCCTTTCCTAAGTTCAGTTTTGCAAAGAAAAAAAAAAAGGAAAATGAAAGGAAAACTAGAGGGAATTTGAGGAGTCTTACTTTAACATAAAAACTATAAGCACTTAAAATAACAGAAGGCAGATACACGGTGCTAATGTAGTGAGTATATAATAGTATAAAGGAGAATTTTAGCATCAATAAAAATATAATGCAAAATTTAAAATATAATAGATGAAGATAGTCTATTTGCTAAAAAAGAACAATTTTAAGAAGTTATAATAATTATAAATACATATGCAACTAACATTACAGCCTTGAATTCTTAAAAATACTGATATGTAGAAACAATCAAACCAATAATTTTAATTGAAAAATTTACATTAATCTGGAAACCTGATATTTTAAGTAAAAATAAAATGAGTAAACAATACAGAAATAATAATATCAATAAGCAATAAAGAAATAGGATGCAAATACCATGAGCACTAAGTAATATACCTATGCATACATATATTTTATGGTGTTTATAAGTGTATGTTATGAAATATATATATGTACATATACAAACACATTCACAAAAGTCAAGATGAATAAAAGCAAAGGAGCCAAAATAATTTTAAAAACTTAGCATTATGCAGAATGTCATAAAAATGAAACAAATGATAAAAACAAACCTGAAGAAAGGAAAAAGTCCTTGAAATTTAATAGCTATACATTAACCTCAAATAATGAAAAAAACAAGAAATATTTTAAACTAAGTCACAGCAAAACAGCTAACACACTAAATTTGTGAGTCGGAGTTAAAGCAGTGCATGGAGAGAACTTCATACTTTCTAATAGATTGACTAGAAAATAAAGAATGAAAACAAATGAACTTAGTGTTCAATTTAACAATCTAGAAGGAGGCCAGGTGCCGTGACTCACACCTGTTATCCCAGCACTTTGGGAGGCCGCGGTGTGGGGCGATCACTTGAGGTCAGGAGCTTGAAAACAGCCTGACCAACATGGTGAAACCCCACCTCTACTAAAAATAAAAAATGAGCTGGGCGTGGTGGCATATGCTTGTAATCCCAGTTACTTTGGAGGCTGAGGCAGAATTGCTTGAACACGGGAGATGGGGACTGCAGTGAGCCGAGATGGCGCCATTGTACTCTAGTCTGTGCAACAAGAACAAACTCCATCTCAAAAAAAAACAAATCTAGAATGACAGCAACAAAAACAGAAAATAAAAGTAAGAAGAAAAGGGAAAAGGAGAAAGAGGAAGAGGGCAGAAGTAGAGAAAGAACTAACAACTTCTAGCCAAATATACATAAAACCGCAGACTTGCAGTTCCTTCTACCCAGTACATTATGCCCTACTTCTATAAAAAACAAAATTACAAGACATAAAAACAAACAAGAGGCAGAGCAAGCATCTGACTCAGACTCAGGTATGACACATATTTTGAAATTATCAAATCAGGAAAAGAAAAGTGTTAGATAAATTTCAATAGTGTAATGTTTATTTTCCCAAAATTCATAAACTGAAATTTTTACCTCCAAGATCATAGTATTCAGGCATGCGGACTTTGGAAGGTAATTAGATTGTGAGAGTTGAGTCTTCAAAAAGTGGAATCAGTGCCCTTAACTAAGAGACACCCTTTGTCCATTCTATCATGTGAGGTTAGAGTGAGAAGGATGCTGTGGGAAGACAGGACCTCATCAGACAATGAGTCTGCCTTCATCTTAGACTCCTCAAACTCCAGAAATGTGAGAAATACTTCTGTACTCTTTATAAACCTCTCAGTTTATGATACTTTGTTATAGCAGCCCAAATGGTCTAAGAAAGAATAAATGAAGGTAAGATACAATCTTTTATTTTTTCTTATTCTTAGGTGATGAGAAAAACAAAATTGATCTATGTGTTTCCTCTTTTACCAATATCACACTATCTCCAATATTGCTACTGAATTGTAAGACTTAAAGCAGGTAGTCATTTGAATTTGTTCTTTAATATTTTGCTGGCTATTTGAACAAATTCAAACTACTTCAAGTCTTACAATTCAGTAGCAATATTGAAGATAGTGTGATACTGGTTTAAGAATAGACACATGGATCGATAGAACAGATTAGGGAGCCCAGAAAAAGATGCACACAAATTATTCACTAGTCTTTTACAAAAGAGCAAAGACAAGTCAGTGGAGAAAGGACAGTTGCTATGACTGAATTGTGTCCAAGCTAAATGCATATGTTGAAGCCCTAAATGCCCATGTAATTCTATTGCTAATAGGACCTATAAGGAGGCAATTAAAGTTACATAAGGTCATAAGGGTAGAGCTGTGGTAGGATGAGATTCCTTTTCTTATAAGAAAAGACACCAGGGAGTTTGGATGCTCTCTCTCTTTCTCTCTCTCTGCCTCTCAGCATGTGCAAATAGAAGAGGTCATGTGAACAAAGATAATTGAATATTTTTTAAAAGATTGAGAGATAATAAATAATAGCCTAAACATTCTATAACTAAAATCATCACTTAATTTTCCGGGATGAATTAAAGATATTTTAAAGGATATAAGGAATGAATTAACTACTCAGAATCTCTTGCTAGAAATAAATGTTATGTTTTAGTGAAAAGAAATAAAACTAAATAAGATTAACTATGGCTAAATTTGAAAGAAAGAGTTGTTAAAAAATGAGAAAACTAAATTTCCAAAAATGTTAATATGAAAAACTAGACTGGTGATATCAGAGATCAAAGATGTTGATTAGACAGATTTGTGAAGGAAACACTAAAAATTTAAGTAGAATTACTAAAAAGTAAAAATAAAATTGTGATTTTGGCCAATTAAAATATAACAGGAAAAAACAAAGAGCATCACCGATCAAATAGAAATTTTTTAAACAGGAAAAAAGACACAAAGAAAAGTCATTTTAAAAAATCACAGAATAAGAGATCAGGAATAAGTCTAAATATACTATAAACATAGTAAGTATGGCAGATTACATTATTGCTCAAAATGTTTTCTTCCCCTTCCCACTGCTATCAGCTTTGCCCATGTTATTTCAGGAATAAAACAAAAGATAGAATGTCAAGTCAAAGTCAAATAAGTCAGACATCATCCCCCATATCAAATTCTGCTAGTAATTTCAAAGATACACACATAAAGCAGCTCAGGTAAAGCAGAGAGAGGTCAAGGTCAAGGTCATGCTGAGCAGCTCCCTAGGTGCTTCCTTCCCATATCAGACATGCATTTTTGGTCAAGAATAGACAAGTCTCTAAGGGGGGTATGAAAGTTATTACTCCGGACATTAGGGAGTGTTTTGTTTATGAAACATCTCCAATTTATCACTAGCTCGTTATATTTTCCAGGGATATTTTTCTCATACATCTATAGATTCTGGTTTTATTTTCTATAAGCCATCCTTAGCCAAGGCATCCCATTACAAACGTTCCCTAGATAAGGACTCCATTCCTAGCAAATATCATCCATGTATTTACCCTGAGGTCCAGTTATGATGTTGTCGAGGAGGTACAACTGAGAATCTCCACTTGGTAAACAGAGTAATTAATCACAGACTACATTTTAGCACTTTCCTCCACGCTTATGCTGTTTTTTTGTGAGATTATATTTTCCTGTTTCACTGAATTCAGAATTGTCCATGTGCCTTTCTTTGGCCAGTAAAATGCGGGTGAAAGTGAAGCATGTCTGAGCAAATGTTAAGAACCAGCTTGTGATATGACATTTTTTTTTTCCACGCTGCTAAGAATATAGCAATGTCCCAGGTAGAGGTTACTCTATCTTTCTTGGTCTCAAGTGAAAAAGACATGATAGACACTTGGACTGTGCAAGAATAAGTCACTGAGCAGGTTGTTTTTCTCTCCATCTGATTAGAAAGAGTGAACCAGAGAAAAATCTTTGCATGCTGGAGCCTATAGGGGAAGACTCAGAGAAAGCCCTCATGATCACAAACTCCCAAAATATTATTTTATCTCATGTAATATTTTTTTTTTCTGAATTATGCTATAATGCATCTTGGTTATACACAGAATATTAGCAAACTAGTATATTGATAGTATCATAAAGATAACAGTATAGCCTGGAAATGATTTATTAGGCAAGAAATACTGATTATAAAGCCACTATTATTCTAATAAAAGAATTAATTCCAACTATTTAAGCTTTTGCAAGTGAATCTATAAAAATCAGTAGAAACAAATAAATATATATTAAAACTAATAAAATTCCCATAAACACAAAAAGATGGCTCTTGAGCATTCCACCAATTTATTTTTTAAAGTTTGATGGTATAATTGTATTTCTATTTCATTTATAAGTTTTAAGATATTTTAGAAATAACTGTTTTAGATGTATTCATTTTAAATACATATATTTAAAACATAGATTAAATATATATACTTACATTTATAAATATAAAATTTAAAATATATACATTTGTTACAATAATGTAGTAATGATATATAGTTATATGTATTATATTTATATATACATTTTATTTCAAGTTTTATTTTATATACAGTGGGTACATGTGCAGATTTATTGCATGGTTAAATTGCACCCAGGTAGTGAGTATCGTCCCCAGTACATAGTTTTTTGATCCCCCCTGCATTCCTCCCCTCTCTAGTAGTTCACTGCGTCCATTGTTCTCATGTTTATGTCCATGTCCATGGATGCTCAATGTACAGCTCCCACTTAAAAGTCAGAACATGTAGTATTTGGTTTTCTGTTTCTGTATTAACTTGCTTAGGATTATGGTCTCCAGTGGCATCCATATTGCTGCAAAGGTTATTAATTCCATTCTTTTTTTTTTTTTTTTTTTTTTTTTTTTTTTTTTTTTTT